CACCAATATGAACCAGCTGGCAAGGAAAAAAAGCTGAGTTAACATTAAAAATATTAACAATTTGTGTGGCACAGGTACAAAACAATCAGAATGGTTGCCAATCATCCCATCCAACTGTACTGGTGCATATCAACTGCACATGAACTGCATATCAGCCCTGGAAAAGAACAAGACACAGAGTTAGGGGTTTCTGATTGTAAAAAATGGGAATAGGCAGAATGTATGTATGTGAGTATATGTATATGTATATTTGTTTGTATCTGTATATATATTTTTTTTTGGTTTTTTGAGACAGAGTATCACTGCATAGTTGAGACTGACCTGGAACTCACTCACTGCAGCTCCAGCTGGTCTCAAACACACAGCAATCCTCCTGCCTCAGCCTCCTGAGTGCTGGGATTACAGACATGGGCCACCGAACCTGGCCTATTTGTATCTGTATTATTTACCCATATACATAAGAAATTGGTAACAGTTTCTAATTCTTGAAAAGAGACAGAGGAGGGTCAGTCACCATGTCACTTATTGTTTAAAATAGGTCAGTTCTGGAGCCAGGGATTTAGCTCAGTGGTTCTGCTGCCTGCCTCTCAAATGCAAGGTCCCAAGTTCGATCCCTGGTACCAAAAACAAAATAAAATAGGTCAGTTTTGAGGGTAAAGGGGAGCATTACTGTCATTTGAAAATAATGAGCACAAACTCATAATATATAATCACCCCAGAACTGGGGTCTATGTTCAGGGGTTGTAGAAGGCATATTTTTCATTCTGTCTAGAACAAAACATTTTCCTATTGGTTTATTTTTTTTCTTTAAAGAAAAGTTTTGAAAAGTCTTTGGAATGGAATAGATATTCAATCCATAATGAAATCAGAATGCAAAAATGTTAAATTTTAATCATTTGTGTTTTTCTATCATCATTAAGGAAAAAGTCTAGCTATTCTTGGTAAAAGTGAACCTGGATGTTGAAAACCTTTTCTAACGAGCTTCTTAATAATGGTGATGATCAGGCAACCTCTAAAGCTAGCTAAGAAATCACTGCTTTTGGTTAAACGGTTGTGGATCAAGGCTGCTGACCAGCCAGCCACATTAGCAAGCTCAGTTACCCTTTGCTGCTTTTTCAAGGGATCGTACTGAGGAACTTGTCACTCATTCTTTCCCTCTCAACACCTAGTGAAAAGTTTTAGAGTATGGGCAAACCGAAGTCAAACACAGAAACTGTTCTGTTACTCGGGACTATGTATATTTCTAGTTACTTTGGTTTAAAAGTAAGACATAGGGGTTGGGATTTAGCTCAGTAGTTTCATCACCTGCCTTGCAAGAGCAAGGATCCAAGTTCGATCCCCAGTCCCCCAAAATTAAAAAATTAAAATAAAAATAAGACATAGTGGTAGTGTTTGTAACTTCAAACTTTGGCCCCATGAAGAAAATGATGTTATACGACTAGTGAATGAGAAGGACCAATGATGGCAGACGATCACTGGATGTGTGCTGCATGCCATTCTTGACCTCAGAACTTGACATGTGCTCACTCACTTATCCCCTTATCAAACAAATGAAAACCTAGTGACACACAGGTTTATCATTCCCTAGAGATGGAGAAAGAGAAAGCTGAGCCTTGGAGAAGTGAAGCAACTGTTAAGTTATGTGGCACACTTCCTAGGTCTGAATCTAAGCTGCCAACTTGAGAGCCTGTGTTTCTCACCTAGACAGAGAGCCTCTTGGGTCTGGCTTGGTAGTCAAGAGACAAAAGCGGGGGAGGGGAGACAGAGGGGGGGAGAGGTTCCAATTCCAAACCAAAACCTACCATATTTTCTAAAAAACAGGATGTGAGTTTTAACAATGGGCTAGGGTATTTCATGGGTTTTCCCCCACAGTGAGATCCAAAATGTGGAGTTGCTGTAACACAGTAGGATTTCATTTCCTCATCGGTAGAACGAGAGGAAGGCTAGATGAGTTTTCAAGATTTTGTTTGCTCTATGAAGCTAGGAAATTTTTCTATGTGCCAATACTCTTTGAAGCACTTTATCCGTATGAACTTGTTTACCTTTCCTAAGTCCTATAGGCATTGTTATTACCAATATAGAGGGAAGCAAAGTAATGTATCCTTCTTTCCCAAGTTTAAAAAGCTAGTAAGATTCAAACCCAGGTTGTCTGGCTTCCAACTCTATGCTCATAATCACTCTGATCTGCACTCTTGTGTTATAAATTTAGGATGAATTGTAGATCTAGAGTTTAAATTATAAAATGTAGAAGAAATCTAGAATCTACCTCAAAAAAAGCCTTCCTTCTAGATAGGGAGCAAATTTTTATATTAGTTATTTGTTCATTTGATGCTGGTGCTTGGAACCAAGTCCTTGTGCTGGCTAAGCAAGCACTGTACCACGGAGCCACCTCACCCCAGTAAATGGTATCTGTTTTTCATGCAAAGGTTCAGGGTCCTCTGTAGCCATGACATCCCTAGAGATTCAGGAAAGGTCTCTTCCTCTCCTACTCCCCAACACTCAAAATCTCCCTAGTTTGGCTGTCTTGTTGCCCATCACTTTCAGCAATTGCTTGAGGTTTGAGGAAATCATGGGGCTAGAAAATTTGTACAGGAAGGCAAGGTAGTAGAAAGCAGAAATCCAAGGAGTAAGATAAAATATAACTTGGAAATTTCTGATTTTATTAAGGTTTCTCCTCCTGCCTAAATCCTTCACCCAGTTCTGCAAAAATACACACACATATATATTGGTAAGGAGACAAACTCATACCAAGAGCACCATTTCTTACCTAATCACTGTACAGAGAATTCAGCTCAATGCCACCCTTCACTCCCAAACATACATTGCAATTTCAAAGGTGCCAGGCCAGAGTATAGGTGCTGTGGGAAGACAGAAAGGAGGGAGACAATTTCTGGGCTTTGGAATCCTAGACACACCTGAGTTTGTCTTCCTATGAGTCCTTAATAGGTTTGTTTGTTTGTTTTGTTTGTGTGTTGTTGTTGTTTTGGTACTGGGGATCAAACTCAGGACCTTGCACTTGCAAGGCAGGCGGTGGCACCTCTGAGCTAAATCCCAGGCCTTTGTGTGTTTGTTTTTGTGGTGGTAGTGGACCTTCCCACTGAGCTACATCCCCAGCCATATTTTTTTTTTTTTTTGAGACAGGGTCTTGCAAAGTCTTCCCAAGTTGGACCTGAACTTTTGATCCTCCTTGCCCCAGCCTCTCAGGATGCTGGGATTGCCAGGGTGCATCATCACTCAGTTTATTACTTAACAGTTCTAATAACAACACTCTCCATAATAACAATTGAGCCCATACTATGGGCCAGACAGGAACTGTAAAAATTCCATTTCTAATGCACATGATAATTCTGGCAGCTCTGTGTCATTACTCATTTATAGATGATACAACTGAAGCCCTGACAATCTTAATGAATTTAAATGCAGAACAAATTCCCATGCTCTTTCAATGGCATCCTCCTGCAGTTTCAGCCTCAATTTTCTTTACCGTGAAATGGGTTCAATCATGCCTTTTTCTTACAGCTGTTGCAAGAATGAAATGGGACAACATACAATCAAGCACATGTATTTACACACTAAGAGGTGGTTCTTATGACTGCTAGATAAAACAGCACAGAGGTTTATAAAGATACCTGTAGTGCTAGCATGAGTCAAGACCAGAGGACAAAACTTTCCAACAGCACAGAATCTAGTGTAATGGTATTTGAATGGAGCCTTGAAAGATAAAATGTGCTTCGGTGTGTACAACGATCAGTGAAGGGTGAGACATACACATCTTCTAGGTGAAATTAAAAGCATAAAAAGGAAGATTGTCATGGCCATGTGTGCATCTTCAGTGATTTTCTGTGTTTTTTTTTTTTTTTTTTTTTTTTTGAGGCAGGATCTCACTATGTAGCCCAGGCTGACCTCGAATTTACAGTGATCCTCCTGCCTCAACCTCCTAAGTGCTGGGACTGTGATTACTTTTAAAGTCTCAAATTTTCCCATATTTCTAAAAAATGAGACAATTACAACTCCTTGCTGTTGAGCGAAAGAGCAAATGCATCTAGTTTTCCTAGATTAAATGGATTATATCCCCAGAGAAAGGCAAGTAACTGATATCTTAGCTCTGTAATATTCTCATTCTAGACAAGGAGGGCAGAGCCTGTGTAGTAGAACCTCAGGGAAAGGGTGAGAACATCATTACAGAAGATATGAGGCTAGTAGGGGGAGAGAAAAAAAAAGGTCTGGAAATAAGACTTTCCAGCCAGTCCTTTCTATTTCCATGTTCCCTCCACTGTGTGCCTCCATATCAGAACCTCAAGACAGGACCAACTCTGGACATGAGCACTCTGCCTGCCAGTACTGATACAGATGAATCATTAGCACTCAACGCTTTTAAGTCATTAAGAGACCCATTCTATTGCTTACTTATACAAAGGAAGCAATTGTCCCTGCTCTCCTGGACAGCAAACAGATCTCACGTGAGAACGAGAACCAGAAAACTCCTGCAAACTGCAGAGATGCAATATGGCCATGCTGTGTAAAACCCACAGCCTAAATTTACAGAAGGGCTTACTTTCATGTTTTCAGTGTACTTTCTATTTAAGGGTTTCAATTTGTAAAAGTTGAAAGAATTCCTTTGTTAGTCACTTTTATATTTTTTTCAGATTAAAAAAAAAAAGCTAGCTAAACACCAAGTCAGATTAAATCCAACAAGACAGCTAGAGAAGCTGTGAGAGAGAAAAAACAAGTGTTACTTAAACAAAAATGAGCAAATTACTCTACAATGACCAAAGAAAAAACAAAACAAAATAAAAAAAACCCGTATGCACAGAGCCCTCCCTCTTAAAGAGATTCTCACAACTTATTTTGCCATAGAGGAACTTAGATGTTACAATATCTCGTTAACCAATCAGCAAAGCTGTAGGCTTCAAACCAGGAAGCCCTGTGAGGTATAGTATGTTCAACTGTGCAAGTGAGACTTCTGGTTCTCAGCAAGTTTTTGTTCCCTGTGCTTGTAGGATGGAAAAGCAGATGTGAAGTCCCTCATGGCGAAGTTTAACACAGGGAGTAACCTGACAGATGAGGTCTCGGGCAATAACCGGCCCTTCAAAGTCACAGCACAAAACCCACCTTCAGGAATACAAGCAAGAAAGAACTTATTCGACCACCAAGGAAATGTCAACCCTCCAGCAGGACCCAGCAACATGCCCAAATTTGGGACTCCAAAGCCACCTTTGGCGGTGAAACCTACTTTTGAGGAAAAGCCAAACAAGGAACCCAACCCCACTTTTGTAAAGCCCAGTGGAGTGAACCAAAGATTTGGAACACTGGCAAACTCGGCCACCAGAGAGCCTGACATAAAAATGGGATTTCCAAAACCTGGAGGCCTCAAGCCCATCAGCTTGCCCAAAGAAGATTCTAAACCTGTGTTTCCCCGGCATCTTGGCAATAAGCCATCACTTCACAGTGAAAACCAAGACCAAGACATGAAGATACCAGGCCCAAAGCCAGGGCCTACCCCTCCAGGCGCAGAAAGTGAGCAGAGACTAACATTCCCCAGGCTGGCTGGGGCTAAAGGCAAGTTTACACCAACCTCACAAGATCACGATGCCAAACCCCTCTTCCCCAAACACGCCATCGGCCAGAAGTCAGCCCTGGGTACCGAGAACTCCCACGAAGACGAGAGCCTCACTAAGAATATGTCCACCCAGAAAGGATCCCTGACACCCCCTGGAGCCAAGTCCAAGGGAGGCTCTTTAAAACCAAGGGAAGACCCAGAAAATAAAGGCTATGGAGGTGACACATCAACTTCTCCATTTGCTGGAGTGATTCTGAAACCTGCTGGAAGCCGAGGAAGCCCGGGCCTCTCCAAAAATAGTGAAGAAAATAAAGAATATAGGAAGATAGATGCCACTAAGAATATCTTCCTCAGTAAAGTGAATCAGGAAGAGTTAGCCTTGGGGGCTGCTCCCAAGTTCCCTAAGGCTCCTTCCAAGCTGATGGTGGGGGGGCTCTGGGGCCAAAGTCAAGAGAAAGAAAAGGAAGACAAAAATTCAGCAATCCCAAAGCAGAAACCATTGCCTCCTTTGTCTACCTTGGGTCCACCTCCACCCAAACCCAGCAGACCACCCAATGTTGACCTCACAAAATTCCGAAAAGCTGATTCTGCAAACAGTGAGTTATTTTCTCATTGCTAAGCAGTATGGTTTGTTCCGCAGCAGGAGGTGTGTTAGCTTCTGGGGGAAAGTTGTAACAAGGAATGATTCCATAACTGTACTCATGCATGTAAGTGGTGAATTTTCTTTGGCATTTCTTTCTTTTGTGTGGGAGGTCTGAGAAAGTAGAAAGTCTGAGTTCTACGTAAACATTCTTTGAGAAAATGATTTGGTGGCTGGGTTTTCAACAGAGAGGGTGGGAATATATCCATTTGATTGATAAATGCTTTTGCTTAATAATAACCATTGCTTTTACTTCTTCAGTTAGAATTCATTTCGTTTCAGTTGAAAGAGACTGAGGCAAGCTATCCCTACTGCCAGAAATGAGATAGACAGATAAGTAAGCAAAACTTCTAAGTAAGTAGTCCCCAAAGGAGCAACTAGGACAAGAACAAGACATTTGGCAATGTCTGGAGGCATTTTTGATTGTCAGGATTGAGCATGCTGTTGGTATCAGAGGGGAGAGGGATACTGGTAAACATCCTACTATGCCCCGCCAAGCCCCTCACTTCACAGAATTATCCAGGCCAAAATGTGAATAATACTGAAGATGAGAAATCTAAGCCTTCAAATATCCACACCTTCTATGTTTCCTAAGCCCAGTTCTCAAATAAGAGAGGAAAACAACTCTTAGGAGATGATATTTTTTGTTTCATATTTTAAGTGTTCAAATTTCTCAGTACAAAGTTTTCTGAATTTATTCATATGTATTGCATAGCTAGAAAAATAAGGCAGATAAAGGAGTGCATTATTTTCCTTCTGGATAAACAGATTAATTTTCTACCAGGGATGTCACAGCAATTTTTAGAATGTGGCATAACTTTATACTAAATGCCTGGTTAAAGATATGTAACCTCGCATCATAGTGAAAATGTCCGAGAAGATTAATTTTTTTTTTTTGCAAAGGATGTGCAACTGATGTATATTGTAAGATGGAAAAAATACGCTTACAAGTGCCTGTACCTATATTAGTCATATATTTCTCTTTACAAAATTATGTTTTAATGTAAAGCAGTACTAGACCTAACAGTTGTTTTTCATTTTTGCACTGTGGAAGCATCTTCAGTATGTCAATTTCCTCATATCAGTGCTCTTTTTCCTGGTAAACAGGTAGAGATCGGTTCACCATTAATCCTCCCATGTAGAAAGCAAGCTTCGAATGACCCAATGCTCCATCTCCTAGAAAGAATCAGCCTGGTGTCAGCTTCTCATTGCTTGTGCCGTGGAAATGGTTCTGATATTAAGCAGAAGTCTTTGGGAGTTTTCCTCCACACCCTCCGTCTGCGTTTCCACTCCTTCCTCATCTGTGTGGTGGTAACATCACTTTTGGATGAGTCTTCAAAGATGTTAATGCTGAGAAAGCCCTCTGTGCTTTTGCAGGCCAGGCCAGGTCAGCCCTGGAAGATGGCTAGTACAGTAGAGGGACAAAGAGCCAGGCAGGACTGCAGAGCCACCAGCATTTTCCTGTCTCTTTCTCCTCCCCCTCGCACCTCTTCTCCTCACCCAGTTGTCCAGGACACTGTTTCTATTTTAAATCCCATCATCACAGTAACCTTCTCAGCCTCTAATCCCTCACTATATATTATGATCCCAGATGTAGCCTCTTCCACAAATCAAAAGTCAACCTTAATGTAGATTGACCTGAATTTGGTGTCAGAATAAAGAAATCTGAAACATATCTTTAGATCTGAATAATGCCCTTTCAGAGCATTCAATTTTTTCTTTAAATTTTTAAATCCTTTACATTTTTAAATAGAAATTACTTTCTGTCTCAGAAAAGCAACAAGTATAAAATGATATGCAGTAAAATAGAAGTCACTTTTCTTGCTCATTTGCTATTTACTGGTCTTCCCAGCCCTTGTTCCGTGGAAATAACTCTTCTTAGTCTCTTACATGTCAATACGAAGTTTGTTTTATGTTTACATAAGAAAATTTATAGATTCTAAAACTCAGCTTTATACCCAAAAAGTAGAATATTATATGCAATATATGCAATGTCTTTTTGCTTCTCTCTCTCTTCTCTCTCTCTCTCTCTCTCTCTCTCTGTGTCTGTGTGAGTGTTGGTGGTGCTGGAGATTGAACCTAGGACCTCAAGTATACTAAGCAAGTATTCTACCAGAGCTATATCTTCAAGCCCTCTTGCTTAAGAAAATACGTGTAAGGGCTGGGGATTTAGTGCAAGGACCTGCTGAGTTCCCAGTACAAAAAAAAAAAGTGTATATCATCTTCCTACAATTTAATAAGAAGTAGCCGATTTTTCTTCAGAGCTGCATAATATGCTGATAAATGAATGACTAGCCTAAAAGTTTGAACAATTCATGTTGCTTCTAAACATTATATGTTTCAAATAATACTATAGAAAATAAGCTTGTGCCAGGTGTGGTGGCCCATGCCTGTAATCCCAGCACTCAGGAGGCCGAGGCAGGAGGATCGCTGTGAGCTCGAGACCAGCCTGGGCTACATAGTTAGTTCAGGTCAGTCTCAACTACATAGTGTGACCCTGTCTCACAAAACAAAACAAACAAAACAAAAAGTTTGTACACGTATCATAAAACACACTATTTTCTGGGTTTTGTTGCTGTTGTTGTTGTTGTTTTGAGACAGGGTCTCACTATGTAGTTGAGACTGACCTGGAACTCACTATGTAGTCCAGGCTGGTCTCGAACTCACAGTGATCCTCCTGCCTCCGCCTCCTGAGTGCAGGGATTACAGGCATGCGCCATCATGCCCGGCAAACACACTATTTTCTGAACACAGAATATTTATTAATAGGTCTGCAAACTCCTAATCATTCCACTGATATTTTTCCTAAACTGTGCCAGAAATACTAGGAAATTAAGCTTTCCATTTAGGAAGGTTAAAAATACCTAAGAATTCAAAAATGCATATTTATGTTATATACCAGCTAGACAGCAAGCTAAACAGAAAATAATTAAAATATTTTTGTAGCAAAAGAAAACATCCTAGATTCTTTATCATTCTGGAGTACATAAATGGCAAATTTTAAAAATACGTTGTAATAATTATATAGTGTGTTTTATATAGTTTTCAGATGGGATAGATACTTTAAGGATCCATTAAGTATAATTATCACTTTCATTTCATAAGTGAGGACTGAGGCTGGAGCACGTGACATATCTGAAGTCTTATATGCAGGATCAAAATCTAGTTCTTCAGATTCCGAGTTCAGTTCTTTGTTCTCACACTCTCCTGCCCCTGTGGAATGTATATGATTACATGTCTATATTTGGTGTGTATATTTACTTATATGGAATATGTATCATCACAAGTACACACAGTTTTAACCTTCATCAAAGGAATATCAAGATTATCTTTTTAAATACTTATAATTTCCTATGAAACAGAGTAGTTTTAATTCATTTTAAACCAAAGTGTACAGTGTCTAGGTTAGAAATTTTAATATTAACAGTAAAATAGTGCTTTGTTATGTGACGTAGACTTCAAAATCAGTAGACCTGGGTTTTCACTATCACTGATTTTTTACTGTGCAACTGTAGGCAAGTTGTTTTTCTTCTTTTAGACTAAAACATTAATATAATATCTCCTATTTTATGGGCATATTATAAGGATTAAATAAGAGTGTGTTTAATGTATTTCACACTATTTGGCACATAGTAATAGAAAAATGAGTAAACACTGTCTATAATTTTATTAGCTTTAAAATTTTATCTCCGGGTGTGCTGTAGTTCTATTATTTTATACTAGAACGACTATTCTAAGAATCTTAAACTGCATTCTACATACTTGTGCTTATAGCATGTAAATTGTTAACGATCTATGTAAAATTATGCTGAAGAAATGATTGCTGGAAAAGAGGTTTGCTAGGGGAAGTCTTTGAAAAATCTTCTGTCAGATGTTCTCCTTCCTGTTAACAAACGAGGTGGAGGGCCGGCCAGAGGTGAAGTCTGAGAGGCACTGATAACAGCCAGGCCCAGAGTTACTACCTACTGTTCAGTGAGGCCAGGAGAAGGATCTGCTTCTCCAGAGGTAGAGACATACTGCAAGGCCAAGACTCATAGCTGTTTTCAGCCCTGGTACCCATCCATAAGGGCAGTTTTTCAAGGCCGTTGCTTCCAAAGAGCATCTGCCTTTTCCGTTACCTGTCAGCTTGGAAATAAAAGAAATTTTCTCACTTTGCTGTGGATCAAGAAAAGCCGCAGGTGCTTACATTGGTAGTTTCCAGGAAAGTTCTTCTGGGTATGCCACTAGAGACCCTACGTTTTTTGACATTGGAATTCTTTCTCCAACTCTAATAAATTCGTGCCCTAAACATACCTGGCTTGTAATTTTGCATTCAGTTCCTTAAACCTCTTGACCCATGTATTATTTATGAAAATTCCTATTTATTATCATCTCCAATATATTAACCATTAAAAATTCGTCATTTATTGAGGAATTGTTATATATCACATGCACAATATCCCAGCTATTCCTTCCATGCTGTGAAATATAATTCTGTGAGGAAACTAAAGCTCAAAAGGGATAGGGAATTTGTCCAATGCTGTAGCTAACTAAGCGGAGCCGGAGCTGATCCTCCACCTCCAAGTTCCCATGCGGGGCCACCTCTCTTGAAAAACAGCTACCATGAGATAATAAATCAAGCATAAATGATACCTCAAGAATCATTCTTCTCCATTTCTCTGGCTTTTGGTTGTAACATGTCTTTCTTTTTAAAAATGTATACGCATCCCTGTGACATTTAAGTGTCCATTACTGCTTACCATTCTCTCAGATGGAGCACAGAAATCATAAAACTCTTTGTTATTTTATTAGTTTTTTTGCCTTCCACAAATATCTTTAATCAGAATTGCACCAAGATTTTTCAGTATTAAATTTTAATATTGTCTAAAATTTAGTAACTACTTCAACAAATTGGATAATCTCTCCCAAGAGGCTTGTACTTAATTGAGTAGAGCTTTGACACAAAATGAGTATTGT